TTTAATTCCCACTGACTAATAAAATCAGCACAACCAAAGGTTTATTACTTAAGTATTAATAAAGCAGCAAACTTAGACTGAAGAGCTTTTTAAAGGTTTGTACAACTTAAAAAATAAATATTTGTAAAGTCAGCTTTTAAAAACTGTATTTTAAGCATGTTTTAGTTCATTAAACTGAAAATAAACACTTTTATTGGGTTTTCGTTAAACATCTGATACAGCTTAGAACAGAAAATAAATCAACATTCACTGAATTATATAATGAGAACAACACATCCAAACAATGAAGAATACAAACTATTATAGTTTTATTACTACTTTATAAAACCTGTATTAAGGAATAAAGATAGTGAAGTAAAAATTAGCAATAATTTGATGGTATGGAAAGAAATCTCTTAGATATTAGTCCTTTGGCTCAGAACGGATTCAGGGTCTGAATAATTAAAGTCTAACTGAAGACCTTCTCACACTAACATTTTAGACTTATGCCAACCTATGAAAAGTTTAAAGACATTTATGTTGAAGATGGAATTTAAAAAAATCAACTGGAAGTTTATTTTAGGCGTATTACTGTAATGCTAACAGATTGATCAAATACCGTATTTTTCGGACTATAAGCCGCGACATTTTTCCTGAACTTTGAACCATGCGGCTTATAGTCCGGTGCGGCTTATATGTGGATTTTTTTCTTCAGCCACCAGGGGRCTCTTATGCTCCATTTGCTTCAACCACTCACTTCAAAAAAAGAAGGAAAAAAAAGAAGAAAAAAGCAATCCTTCCAGAGCTGACTGTTGTACCAGGAAGCAGCGATTTAAAGATAGTCAATGGCCAAAAACTCATAAAAGGGGATAAAACAGACATTTTTCACGGTGGAATCTGACTGATAAAAACTTTGGAGCTTAATCCAGGACCAGTTTGTGGATAAACGTCGAGTGAAGAGCTGCTGACTTTTTTTTTCGGCATTGCACTCCCCGGGGAAGGAATCCCATGCAGTGACGAATGCTGGAGCGGGAGGGCTTTCCCAGCAGCTCGACTCGGGGTTTCTCGGGGGAACTGTGAAAGGTCAGTGCGAAAACAAACACCGAACAATCACGTGACGGCGCGTCGACCGGTCGACAGCTGAGCGACCATACTGCCAGCTTAGCCGGAGGTGTAGCGCCATTTTGTTTTAGCTAGTAGCAGACACGACGGATCTTCGACAGACACGATATTGGACAGTATGCGGGCCCACATCACGGATTCAGTGAAAGCAGCCATCAAGAAAACAAACTCAATTCCTGCTGTTATTCCTGGAGGTACAACAAAGTTTTTGCAACCCCTGGACATCAGTGTGAATCGTGCATTTAAAGCAGCACTCAGGGCTGAATGGGAGGCTTGGATGACTGACGGGGATAAATCATTCACAAAAACTGGCCGAATGTGAACAGCGTCATTTCCTGATGTCTGCCAGTGGATCCTAACAGCGTGGAGCAGAGTGAATGAGTCCACCATCACCAATGGGTTCTGAAAGGTTGGACTGCTACGTGAAGAGAGCACCACAGCTTCAGAGCCAGCATTACCCCGGGAGGACAACAGACACCACTGTGTGACGCAGCTTTTCTCAGCTTGTTTAACTCCGACATTGAAGAGGACTTCGATGGTTTCAGTGCACTGGAGGAAGATGAATGAGACGTTTTTTTGGATCAGAAACTGTTAAAGAAAACTACCAAAATAAGGTCAGTTAAATGAACCGTATTCCTCCGAACTCCGACACTGAAGAGGACTTCGATGGTTTCTGTGCGCCGGAGGAAGATGAATGAGATGTTTTGTTGGACCAGAAACTGTTAAAGAAAACTACCAAAATAAGGTCAGTTAAATGAACCATATTCCTCCGAACTTTAATTCCTAAAGGTTTGCTTTTTATGTTTTGATGATGAATTCACTTTTTTGACGACAAATTTGGGTGTACTGTTTTTTTTTTTTTATGTTGGGGGTGCGGCTTATAGTCCGGTGCGGCTTATAGTCCGAAAAATACGGTATATAACTTTTATCAGTAATTTAGACATAAAAAAAGTTTCATTCAGTTGTCTACAACGTTATAGTGTGACAGGGCCCTAAAGGAGTTCTGTGACGCAAAATCCATTTTTTAGCCGTTAAATCCATTTTGTTGAGAACCTGGTGTCTGTAGGAGGCAGAAAACTTTAATTATTTTCTCAAGTTGCTGCGTAGCCATCTTTATATTCTTAGTTTTCTCTCTATTATCAAACAATAACATCAGTATTTGCTGCAGAACTGCCATGTGAAGGATAAAGGCAGGATATGTCCACTTTAGGAGTTCTTTTATGTAGATTATTAAGCAGTTTATGTTTGACTTGTGCTTTTTAATCTAGTGTTACCAAGTCTTGTTGGATGATGGTTTTCAGTTGATAGACTCAGTTAAATCCTGTCTGCAACCCTGCTTACTGATGCTTCTATTTCCATTAAAATAAAGCTATTATCTGGACCTACTAATAAAACGAAATGGTTTTTGTTGCTTTAAAAACTCATTTACCATTTTAATATTGTGTGTTTGCTTTGTGTGTAACTCTGATTTATTCCCGTATGAGGAGGAGCAGATGAGATTAGAGGGGTGCCAGTGGGAGCGGGGTTAACTGTGCTCTGCGACGAGGGCGAGCCGAGGCCATCTTGCCCGGGCTTAACTGTTTTTTTTTTTCACCGCTCCGCCGACTCTGGCAGCTCAAAAAGTCGTGTTTGTGCCGACGTGTTTGATCAGCAAGATCTCGTGTCAAAACTTCAACTTCAAAAAAAAAAAGTTTAAAAAAAAGGAAGAAGAATCAAAGAAAGAGCATCTTGGAGTAAAAAGATTCAGTCAAACCATTAAAGTGTATCTTACCCCCTGTGAAAATATAACTCCGCCCCAAGGCCAAATTTGAAAAATGCATCAAAGTGGGTGGGGGGGGG